CATATAATTAAACTTCCACTGGTTTTCACAACCACATTCTCGGGCCTTAAATCTGCCCAGAAACGATGTCTTTGCCCTTCTTCTTCTCCGCTGCTGAAAAAACCGAAAAAAAAAATCATTAAAAATCAATTTGGGAATGGGACTCGTTTATTCATTATCGAAACATGACAGTGTGACATAATGTCAATAAGTTATTTTTGGTGAATTGTAAAAAGAGTTTCAGTTGGATTTTTAGATGGAAAATGTTGAAGGAATATTTGAGGATGTTTGCAACATGAAGCAATATGTATGGATTTAAGTAAATTACGCGAGTATCAAGAAAGTTTGCGCTTCGCGTTTTAGTTTAACGTTTTGTTTTGCATATTGCGAAAGTTTAGCGTGTGATCGTTTTCGTTTCATAAATGTGTTGGTAAACGGTCTGCCAAATTGCAACCGCTGTGCGCGGATCTGCTTTAATGTTGCGTTTTCGTGTTGCACATTGCGAAATAAGCACCAAAAATTGCATATCTTTATTGTTAATTCTGTTTCTGTAACAGAAAATTGGTAGCAGTCGAATATTTATAACCAAAGAAATGATTTTTTAACATTTTGATTATTTTTCATCATAAATAACAAAATAATTATTAAAAAAATCAAAAATTTTATGAAAAAAACCGGTATACCGGCCAGAAATACCGGTATTAATACCGGTATACCGGTTTTTTTTTCATAAAATACCGGTAATAATATCGGTACACCGGTACTTTTCATTTTCAAATATAGATATTTCTCAATATAATAAAAATTAATTTAATAAATACCGGTATACCGGTTATTTTCATTCAAAAATACCGAAATACCGGTATTGAAATAAAGTAAATTATTAATTTTTGATATTTTAAACTCAAAAAAAAATAATCCTGTTGTTGAAATTTAAGTAAAACTTTACAGCCGGTAATGACGTAACGATAATTATGCAGGAATAAAAATGACAAAGGCAGAAGAAAAATAACACACCGTTCGTTCGAGAAAAATCATTAATTTGTTCGCTAAACTGCACCATCATCAGTATTCATTCAGCTTTTCCGCCCGTCGCTCTCGTCTCTTCGCTCCTGCAGACGCTGACGATAAAAAAACCAGCGCACCTCGGCTGTAAACAACTTGTTCTCGAGCTTTCCTCGTAGGTACCCCGGCATTAATGTAGATAAAACTCATTAACAATGAAAAATGACCCAAAGTCGTTATCAATAAAATTCAAGTACCTTTCCTAAGTACTCACAAAAAACAAGGATAAAAATTTAAATTCGCGGAATTTTAGTGAACGCTGTAAGTTAGATTGTATGCAATTGTGTAACGTTTTCAATCAATAAGCATCAAGTTAAAGCTCAAGTCAATCGCAGTGATGTGGCCTCGTTTTTCGGCACCCGCACAAGAAGAGCGTGAACCCCGAGGGCATGATAAATGGTCGCGCTAAATTATTCAGACTAATTGTTGGCCTTTTCGGAGATGGATATTGCGTCGGCGGGCGCCCGTGCATTTCTAAAGCTTCGCGCTCGATTTCAATCGCGGGCTTTAAAGCCCACTATACATGCGCTTGTTGTTGAGTTGTAGTAGAGTGTGTATTGCGGAAAACGATGATAATTTTCATCAAAATTGTGCTGCTACACTACTAAAACTTCGGCCTGCTGCCGGCGGTGTTTTAATTTTCAATTTTCGATTTTTGATGTGAAATTTTAAATTTGCAATCTTTGCGCGCAGGAATGGAGCGGGAGCGTAAATGTAATTAATGGGAAAGTGACGAGATGGTGATCAATATCTCCTGACAGTTTACGATTTTAATTTTTAATACCTACTGCGTAATTTTTGATGATTTGCTTTTTCGGGGCGGGAGTTGAGTTGAGAGTGCAGCGATAAAAAATTTAACACGAAATTCATCGGTTTAATTCAATCCTTTTCAAGTGAAAGTGGGAGGAAGGGTTTTGTCATTAATTCTTTATTATGTTTTCTTGAAAATATCTATGAAAATGTTTTTTTTAACATATTTTAGTCGTAAAATACTAAAAATAGTCGTTTTTCAAAATTTGTCTTCAAAATTTTTGTTATTATCGGAGATTTTTATTAATTACAACAAATATAATTAGGTTAAAATTATAAATGTTTCAGAAATACAATTTGTATTAAATTCTTTGTCTAATGACGTTAAGATTTTGTTTTTCGGTTTATTCTTCTAAAAGTTATGAACAATTAAAGTTGGTTTTAAAAAAAATCGAAGAATTTTTTTAATTCGTCAAAAACTAATCGTAGATTTTTATTAATTACAACCGAAATAATTGCGATAGAATTATAAATATTTCAAAAATAGAATTAATATTAAATTCCTTATCAAATGACGCAAAGCTCTTGTTTATAACTTAATTTTTCTAAAAGTTATAAACAATTAAATTTGAAAGTTAAAAAATTCGCAGAATTTACTTAATTTGTCAAAAACTAATCGTGGATTTTTATTAATTACTGCTGAAATGATTGCGATAGAATTATAAATATTTTAAAAATAGAATTAATATTAAATTCCTTATCAAATGACGCAAAGCTCTTGTTTATAACTTAATTTTTCTAAAAGTTATAAACAATTAAAGTTGAAAGTTAAAAAATCAAAGAATTTCCTTTCATTTCTCTTTATTTTGTATAAAAATCGTATTATCAGTCAAATCTTTACATATTTAGATACAAAATTAACTATTAATTAAACTATGATGTTGTTAGAATTAATTATTAACAGTTATAACAATTTATTTAAATATTTTACTTTAAAAAATCAAAAATTAACCCAGAATTTCAATTTTTTCTTTCAATAAATACAACATGTATGCAAAATAATGATACACATTGTTCATTTAGCAAATCCGAATAATCTAAATTATAAACCAATGCCGATGGTGCCGGTGGTGCTCGCTCGAGGGTGTGTAGCGCGCGTTGCAATAATAAATGCGCACCGCGTGTATCATGTTTAATTAATCCCATTTATAACGTAATAATCTACCTAATCAAACACGCGGTATCTGCAATTAATTATTAGCGACGCACTACACCCCGGCGCGCACTTGCTGCTGGCACCACACCTCGCACACAGCGCAAATTACGCGTACGAGCGCAGACGTATGCTGTGTGTATGTTTTTATTATTCCATATTCCGCGCGCGCGATTCGATTTACATTTTCATGCGCGTAAGCCAGTGCGTTATTATGACTCGCATTATGTTGCGATTTATTATCGCAGATGAAAAGTGAAGCCATGTTATACTGGTGATAAATGCGGAATTGCGATAGGTTAGCTATTATTTGATTGAATGGGAATTGTTTTGAGTAATGAGCAATGAGTAATTGCAGCAACAATTTAATATCAAACGTCAAAGGTTTAATTTTATGATTTTCTAAATTATTTAGACATTTTTGTTAATTATAGTTTACGGTTTTTATAATTTTACAACTAAAACTTTGATTTTGTAAAAAAATCAATTTTAATTTAGTTTTCCAACTTTTAACTTAATTTTTTTGAGACAAAAAGTATTCTATGTACTATTCTAATATATTATCTATAATATTGTTTAGTTTTTTCAAAATTTCTTTATTAGTTTTTGCGTTATTGAGCAACAAACATACGAAAACACTTTTTATTTAGAATATTTGTCAATACAATGCATTTACACGATATTTATAAGTATAATTACTATTTAAAATACAATTTTATTATTTTAATAACTTTTAGGCTTATTTTTTGCAATGTATATTAATTTTTCTGGACAAAAAGTGTTTATATTCTATTTTAATTCATAACCTATAAGTCTACCAAATTTCATTAAAATTTCTCGAATAGTTTCTGACTTATCGTGTTACAAACATACAAAAACACAATAAAACCACAAATAAATATTTTTAAATATCACCAATATCATCCACAAATGATTTTTTAATGGTACAATAATAAAATGTTTGTTATTTTGTGTTTTCTTCATAATTGCATATCAGAGAAATTATGACGGTTAATTAATTAAGTTAATTATGTTATTATGCGCTGCGAATGCACCGCAACGCCATGTAATTACCATAATGAAGCAGAGTAGAGTATCACCCCCTTGGTATTGTCGGAGGCGGCGAACGGTTACACGAAACAGGTGTTTTACACATTGCACGTAAAATGCGCCGCTGCTTTGGAATCTTACAAACACAACGCAAGCAGTCTCGACTCAAACACTCCTTGACAACCGCCAACCGCCGCCCCCAAGGTAACAAAACAACTCACACTTCAACGAAACATTTTTTCACGGCAAAAAATTATTGTAACATTGTTGGCTTTTTAAATGTCAGAGATTTCCATTTCCATTAGTGTAACCAAATTGCACGCAATCAATTCAAGTCACTCGGTGCTTTTGTTCCGCCGACGAAATTTTATATCTCGCTGCGTTCCGGAAGCAATTCCGCGCTGTGCAGATAAGCTAAATGCGCTTAACGGAAACATGAATGATTTGTACAATCCGTCCACGAGGCGCAGCGGCACAGAAAAAGAAATACACAACGGCGAAATGGTGGAGGCGCCGTGGGTTATTACGATAATACCGGCGCCATTATGCTGCGCATCGCACCTGATCAACCTCAATTAATTATCGCAATCGTGACGGAGCACCGCGCGTAATAAGTAAACGTAATAAGTTAACGGAATCCACGCCGGTGAAGGCATATTGTGTGTCGAATAGCTCGAAAGTTGTGAAACTGTAAAGTTTAAACTAGGTTATGTACACATCAACACGCACACGTGTGCTAGGGATTAATCTGATGCCATTTATCAATGACTTCGAAAGGGTTATTAATTTTATGCATTGATTTATATGAAGTTTAATTTTTTTTCTCGCGCGGAGAAAAATTTCAACCAATCGTAAAATGCAGGGCGGAAACGTAAAATACACGAAATGAAGTAGGTGGGGTTGTAGAGAGGCGTCTCGAACGTGATTACACGTACTCGTATGCATGCATCGCGCGACGCCGCCGCCGCCGCCGCCGGCCACGACGCCGGCCTCGAGGACACGACGCGATAACGTAGCGGCACGTAGTCACGGCCGTCAGTCGGCTTCAGCACTCCACAAGGATCGCCACGGCTTTCGAAAAAGTCTAACAAACGTGTGCCTCTGCTTCAATCAAATAGAAATCAAGAAAAGTAAATCAAGTGTCCACCATTTTGTCAGCGTGTATATTGGTAAGCCTAACACAAATTATTTTGTCATACGATTGTGTTGCATACTTACTTACATAACCACAATAATTCCCAATTCGGTTCCGGGAGGGCCGATTTATGTATCGACATAATACATTGTGTTGAAATATATCTCGGGGGTGGGTTTTAAGTGGCGGCAATAAAACGTGTATAATCCTAAACGTTCGCGGCCGAGGCACGTGCTGCCGTGCGCGACCTGTTTGCGCGCTGCGCCCGGAACGAAAACACACTGAAACCACTAGCCGCCACCACTGCCACCTCCGCCGCTGTGTATATACTCGTATATACATGGAGTGTGGCTGGGTGCATTTGTCGGTTTGGTTCGTTTCAATTGCAGTATGCGTTTTGTGTGGGTGTGTGTGTGGTATAGATGGTACTGCGGGGGGTAGATATGTAGGTGTTTGCGACGATTCAACAATTCCACAATTCAACACTAATCGCGAGATAATGGGATAACAGGTAACTATTAAGCGATAATCGCCGCCGGGGGCGCTTGCAGTCGTTATGAATAATTTAATGAACAATGCAGTTTTCATAAATTTGCGATGTGGTATGGGGGCGCAATGCATAGATAATAAGATGGTGGTATTATTCACAAGGAATTTAAAGTAAATAGAAAAATAATATAATTCGTTGGATTTTTATTAAATATTTTATTTTAGAAAGTTGTTTTTAAGTTTAGTCCGAATTTGAGGCTGAAAAACAAAATATTTTTGCCTTTTATTCTTTAAGTATAAACATTTCGGAAAATCTTTTTAGCCAAAAGATGGCGCTATAATTCCTCTTTCATTAAGTGTATTTAGCAAAACTGTAACTTTAATAGTTTTGGAGATATTTAACTTTTTCTAAAAACAAATTTTTGTGATTTATTCAAGAACTACTGCATTAATTCTTACCAAAAATAGCAGAGAGTCTAATGGTTAATATACTAATTATTAAAATTAGTTGTTTTCTCTGTTTCTTCAAAAATTATCAACATTTTCCAAAAATTTTGCAAAAACAAGCAAAAAAATCTCCTAAAAACTTAAATTAAAAATTATTTGATTAAAAATACTTCACTTCACAATTTTTTTCCTACATTTTTTCTGAATCACTCTGTATAATTACTTCTTGCGTTGATGTTGCCACTGCACGCGAACATTCCACCCCGGGATTAAACGCATGCGTGTATGTGTGTTTTGTTGATGTTATTGACTTTTATAATTACTCAAGCATCGCCGACGCTCGCGTTAATTAACGAAACTTATTTGCCCACAATTACCGTAATGATTAAAGGGCTAAAGTCAACCGATCTACGTATTACAGCCCTCGACGGCGGCGTGACCCGGGTAGTAACTCATCGCTCACACACACACATACACATTTACATACAATACAGCTAAACGCAGATTAGACGCTCAACTACATACATAACCTCTATTATAACCTATACAATGTTTAACTAGTTTAGTAAAAGCATTGCTTTTGAAGGTCAACACGTAATATTCTCGTAAAATATTGATGTGCGAGTAAAGAATCAAAATTTATGTTTGTGTGTTTTATATGTGTGTGTGTATGGTTGCGGAAGATGAAACGCTTGAGTTCTAATCGAATCAATGCGCAGTCACTCGGTCACATTCGTCGGTTTGCCATTAAAAGTTATAATTGGAAATTCGTTCGACGGTCTTAGCCTTAGTTTACTCGCAGCTTGTTGCTGAATTATTTCTGTTTTATGGTTAAGTTTATGTTAGAATATTTTTTTGAGTTTTTTTTTCTGTTTTTTGTTGGAAAAAATGAAAATTTTTGATAAAATTTAATATGAAATCATTGCGTTTTTTGCACGGTTATAAGTTTTATGAGTGAAAAACGCGAAATTGAATTTTCTGCGCACTAATGCGCTCGAAACAAGTTGGCAAAAACTACGGGCATAAGCACCTTTTGCTCGCGCCGCACGTGTGCTGATTTATCGACGCGCAAAGTTTGATATAATATCGGCACACATACTCGGCAACGCTCGTGTCCTCCAGGGAGAGTTTTCCTAAAGCGTCTCGGGGTGGATATATGTTTCAAATAGGAAAAGCGGTTCGCGCTCACACAATTTCCACTTTGCATTTTGCGCGGCTCACACTCAAATCGAGAATTTATTTACAAACACAACTTGTATATTTTTATGTTTTTATGTTTTTATTATATACTGGGTGTTTGGTAATTTTTTTTTGTGATTTTAAATTCACATGTGTATTTAATGTGAAAGGTTCAATCGTTGAGGGTTGAAGGTGAAGGGAGGACAGTTTGTGTGACACTTGAAAGCCCGGCGCCTCCACACGCTCGAGTTGAATTTATGTTTTAAGTTTAAGCGCATTTGCAAGTTGAAAATTTATGTCCGATTACTGCGGCGCTGTTGCTGCACACTATTCATAAAAAAGTTTCGTGTGCGCTTTTTAAGTTTCTGCTCAACTTGTACATGTATATTTATATATACAGAGTGTTTAAAATATAAATTTAAAAATTTTATTAGGAGGGTTTAGAGCATACTGTATAATGTAATTTTATTTAAATATTTTTTATGGTTGCAATTTTGTATTCTTTGCAACGCGTTTTTAATTTTAATTTGAATGATTAATTCGCCAAGTTTGGACGCGCGCTGTGGAATTTATTAAAGCGTTTCGTCGCTGTTTATAAAAATTCTACGGCCGCAGTTTTATTATTAATACGCAAAAATTAAGTGGAGCGTCTTCGCGTCTGCGTCAGCGTGGTTAATTGCTGCTTAAAAACTCATTTTTTAATTTTAGCACTCGTAAATTAATCTAGAATCTTTTAAGAGCGGGTTTTGAAGCACCGCAACGCCACTTAAAAAACTGTGTTTATCTTCGAAACTATGCTAAAGTAAACTTTGAAATTTAGTTTTCTTATGTATTAGTAAATGATCTATCGCAGTATTTTGTTGTGTTAATTTTTGTTAGGTATTTTTGTAGAAAAATTGAATTGTAGTTTAACAGTTTTTTGTAATTTTCTAAAAAACTACAACTGATTTTCCTTTGGAATTAACTTTATTTTTGAGATTAATGTTAGACACAGAAATATCTTAAGTGTGGTGATGATTGGGTTGCTGGTTTCTGCAAAAAATGCTAAGCAAAATCAACGATTTGTCGCGATTCATGCCTATATTTAATTTTAAAAATACAGTTTAGGCGTTTTCTAATAGATGGCGCTATCATATACCATGTGTGACAGATGAGGTTGGCTGTTTAATATATATAATACTGGCTTTAACCCTTGGCTTCGCTCGCGAATATCTAAAATAATGAAGTTGCTTCCGTACGCGTCTGTAGTCACAGAAGAAGTAACAATGAAGTAGAATGGTGGGAAGTTTAAAATGGCTGAAAGTATAGTCTATGGAAGTATAGTGTACAGTCTCCGCAGATTGTAGTCAATTAGTTTGATGTTGACGTAGCTGTCGGTAATACAGTGGTGATAATACAGTGTGATGGTACTATAGGTACTTGGGTTTGAGCTTCATTGCTGGAATGCTGGATGGCGTTAAAAGGTAGTCAGGCAGCCAGATGCAGAGGTATTATTGGCTAAACAATTTTTTATTTTATTTGTATGTTTTTTTATTAAATAAAAGTAGCCTATAATTCAGGGGACCACTAAAATATGTGTACAAATTTTCTTTGATGATCAGTTAAGTAGTTTTTACGTGAAAGTGTAGCAAACATCAGGACTTTCGCATTTATAATATTAGTAGGGATTGAGCGTACAGATTTGATAATGCTCCACTGTCACATCAAGATTAAATTATCACATAATTAATATTTGTCAAATTTTAAGTGACATCTTTTAAAGATTTCCAACAGAGCAGGCATTATTTTTAAATTTACAAAAGGAAACATTTTTATACCAAAAGGTAGCCCGACATTTTAAAGTCAGATACTGACTGACATCTAATGTAAAAGCAAGAAAGTTTTATTTGCCAAAAATTAAAAAAAGTCAAAAACTCTTCAATATCCACTAGGATAAAATAAATATTTAGCATTTAGTGATTTATGGGCATCATTATAGACTTTGCTGTATAATATCGATAAATTACAATTTATAATAATAAAATCAACGTATCAGGATGCGCGGGCTTTGTGCGATTGCAATCTGGAGCGCGCGAGTGGAAAATTATAATCGGATTGATTTTATCTCATTGTTAATCGCCCGCAAACACTTATAATGACGATGGCGGCGGCGGCGGCGCGTCAGTTGGCTCGCGCGCGCGTACAGCAATCGCAATGGCAAATTTAATCCGGCGTTTTTATTGGCCAGATCGATCATAAAGGCCGTTTGGACGACGGGCGCTGCTCCAGTTAGCTTACGCTGGGCGAAACGCATTTTTATTTGATTTTATTTTATTTCATTTCATGTCGAAAGAATAAAATAAAATCCCAAATGAATTATACGTTTATGTCCTCTTCGTAAGCGAAATATAAATTAAATGTGTGCGTAGATGTGTCACATCTTATCTCACCGCGCGCGTTTTTTTTTTTTTTTTAAACGGAAACGATTATTGAGATTACGGATTGATGTGAGATTTATACGCGTTGCGAAATTGCGCGATCGCTTGTTTTACGATCGTGAAATCTGTAAATTCGGTAAAATCGCTGAAATTGGAATATCGAAAACTGTGCCACAATGTGATCTATTTTGTGATCGCCGGATTGATGGCATTTTTATCACTAGCAATTAAATTTTTCATTTTTTACCGGATTAATTTTTAGTTGCGCGTTTGAGATTATCAGCCGCGTGTTTGGATCTTGAGTTTCGCGCGTCACACTCGATACATATTCGACAGCTGAATGCGGTAATCAATCAAGGCGTAATTAATTTTTGTAAATGCGCTGGCGTACAAAGGGGAGCACACCTCATTCAATGTGTCATCGGCGATGCGAAGCCTGCAGGGTCATCAACTTTGCGGTTTAATTTCTGTTTCGACAAGGCTGTAATTAATTCTCGAAAAACAGGCAAAAATAATCACTGTATGCAACCAAATGCGCATTCAAATCTTTAATAATAACAACTAGGGGTGTGAAATACCGGTATTTTTATTTTTTTACCGAAATACCAAGTAGAGATGTAAAATACCGGTATTACAACCGGTATACCGGTATTTTTTTGTCATGAAAATTGTAAAAATTAGGAAATTTCCCATTTTTAAGAAATACCGGTATAACCGGTATACCGGTATTTTTATTTTTTTAAATATTTAAATACCGGTTTTTTTAATTAAACGTAAAAAATATTAGAAAAAGACAGGATTAATTTTATAAATACCGGTAATACCGATATTAATTTTGCACAAATACCTAAATACCGGTATTTTCCAAAATTCACATCCCTAATAACATCCCCTGATGCCCGACGTAAATATTCTTTGTTCAGTACTTGAACAAACGTGTGTGCCGCGTACGTATGTGAATGTCGTGCGCTGAAGCAATTTTTAAAGCGTTTAGCAGTCGTAAATAACCGACGCGGCGATGGCTTAGACGATTAGAGCTGCCGGGCGCACAAAGCGCCGAAAAACGAACACGCTCCTCTTGCGCGAGGACAAAAAGAACGCAAAAAGCAGAAAAAATCAGAGGGGGTTGCCGGGCGGCGCGCGCGCGCTAAGAAAGGAAAAATGAGAAAATGTTTAGGAGCGCGGTGTGTGGTGATGGTGGTCGGGTTCGCGGGGACAATGGGACTAGAGACCGGGCGGAGGAAAAGAAATTTGCGACGAAATTAGGAGCGAGAGTCGGCGCGAGCCGAGCGTCATTTACAAATGACGCCATTTATCAGGACCTTAAAGGTCTTATCAACGGGCGGTATGCGTCCATTTCCTTGGTTATGGGATCCGCTCCTTTTTTTTTCGGCTTCTTTATATGAGGAGAAAAACTATAGATACTTCATATTCACCTCGTTGAATCTTGGTTGACAGTCGCATCGATGCATAACAAGTTGCCTATCTAGTGGTAGTAGATTGGCGGTTTTCCACTCGATGTCACAGTGCACAATATGCAACCCAGCTTGCAAAGGTAGCATTACTGCCGCGCTGCACATTGTGCTCACACGCCTGATTTTTAATAGTGGTTGTTATCCGCGTGGTGCGGTGTTAGTATTCCGGCAGTACTTGCGCGGATAGTTTGGGGATTCACACACGGAAGCGCATTTTATTTTCGCTGACTATATCGCGATGCCGCATGAATATCGAGAGGGCGCGACGCAAACAGCTACGTGAATCGCTTAGATAACTCGGTTAAGATGCCACCAAAAGACGCACAACGAGTGCACAATGAAGGCGATCTTGATTCACTCTTCAAGTACCAAACTACCTGATCACTTGGAAATATATAGTAACTTACTAAACTTTAAAAATAAAAAATCGGGAATTTTTATTTTTAAATTTATGATTTTTTATTTTAGTGGTTTTTATTCTTGGGACATTCTGTATGTTACGCATCCATAACGCAGATGTTCCAATATTGTACGTAATATTATTAAAAGACGGTTTTTCGCACAGCAGACAGAAAAAACGTCGTGAAAATGACAAAAGTTATCAAATCATCAAACTGCAATCAGACGAGGGATGTGAATGTTGGGTTTAATACCGGTTTTTCGGTATTTCGGGATTTTTCAAATAAAAATATGGAAAATTGTATAGTTTTAGAAAAAACCGGTTTTAGAAAAAATACCGGTTAACCGGTATTGATACCGGTATTTTACTCTTTAATTTTTTAAGTTTTTTTTACTTTTGTAAATTTTGTGATTTATAAAAAATAATTTAAAAATAAAAATACCGGTTAACCGATATTATTACCGGTATTTTACAACCCAAAATTTGATTTTGATATTTTGATTTATAAATAATTATGCTATTAATATGAAGATAGTTGCAAGTGGTCCAAAAGGTAAAGGATCAAATAATTGACTCGTAATTTAGGCCAAGACCCCGAAATCTAATTGATACCACCCCCAAGTAACGGCGCGAGGGTAATTAACTTCCTCCAGAGTCTTGTTTAATAAACTTGAGATAACCCCCTCTCGCGCGCCCGCTAGATTTGCATACAGTGTGCTTTTCTTAATTAATTTTTGGAGAAGTTTGTTGCTGCCGAGACGCGGATATATCGGATTGCGGCAAACCGCACGATTTAAAATAGAAAATGGGAAATCGATCAGACTTGGCGAACAATATTCGTGTCCTTCAATAACACACAGCCCCGGCTGGCGTTCAATCAATGTTGAAAGTTGCTGCAGCGTGCGGCGGCGGCTGATTGTTAGCATGGAAAATAATTTCGAGATTCGTGCAATTAAATCGGCGGTAATTGCAATTCCGTCGCTTGCAATGTTGAAACTATAACTTTTGGGGGTTGGTCGGACGTCGGCCACCATCACCACCGCGCCGGGGCTTACTTGATTTTGCCGCGCACCTCTTCGAGATGTGATAGTGCGAAGAACTTGCATTACTTGCACTTTGAGAGGGAATATACACAGCGTTCAAAGCAAAATTTAAAAAATTCAAAAATTTGGTTTCAGAATAAATGCAATATCTTTGGAAATATTTGTTGGGTAGATTTGGGGAAAATACCAAATGAAAGAGGAGAAGTTGTGCTATCTGTATCATGTTTTAGTCTCTTCAAATATTTTTTGGTTTTGCAGATATTTGAGGTTAAAAAAATGTTATTTTGAGTTTTTCTTGATTTCACATCAAAACAAATTCTTAATAAAAGTTAAATTTCTACTTCATAAAATATTTTTAGAAAATTTTGATATTTTGATAATTTTCGGAACACATTGTATATTTCTGTATAAAAATGGCAACACTGTTATATCCTCTACGTCTGGTTGTGCGCGCACTTTAGTAGCGTTGTGCATTTGTGCATTTCTGCATAGTTTCGCCCCGTGCGGACGGAAACAACATTGCACAATGCATCGCTTAAACCTAGACCTAATCTACTACCGGCCCCGTTGCCGCCGCCGCTGTCACCACGCGCACATCTTGGCAATGCAAGATTTTGGCATACCTTCCACACCATGCGCCATTATTATCCTACCTCTGCAGTTATACAATTTAAAATTTTTCCTCTAAATATTGGTAGTATTGCGTTGAGCTTTGTCACCTGTTAATAATCTGGCACATATTCAACAACTAGTAACGCCGTGAGCGTCAGAATTACACAAGTTGTACGTCACACACCTCGCGAGTAAACTTGCTGCTTGCTGATCTCTCCGGCGTCGAACAGCCAACGCGATTACGAAACTTGGTAACACTTTGGCACATACGCGCTGCTTTTACATAGCAACGAGACTTGTCTTCGGCGAAGCCAAATGGAAATCGATTGCGCGCTGTTTCGGCGACGTGGCGAGACGCGCCCGCGACAGGGCCACTTTTCGGCGGCGGCGGTGGAGGCGGCAGGCGGCGGGCCACCCTCGAAGCGAATCGATGTCGGCGCGACTGTTTTCCTTCCGTTCACAGCCGTGCTGCTACCCACGCATCCTGGTTACGCGAATGAAATTAGCAAGTTAATGAACATGCACAACTTTTTACACAACTTGAGGATTTGTGCGGAATGTGTCAATTTTACTGACCTCGTATTACATAACAACTACAACTCGAAAATTCGTGTTTATATCCCGCACGCGATTTGCCAATCATTTCCACAATGCGAAGATTTTTACTTTTACAATGAATTAAACTTGTTGGGTGAACAAAAGTTGTTTCAGCACATAGGCAACACAATAAACACGAATAACATTATTCGTTTGTTTCAGGTGCTTCAATCGTTTCAACTGCGTCCGCGTCGACTACTACCGGTGAGTGTTTTTCAATTAACACGTGTTTATAATTATTCCAATGCGAAACAATAACTCAACTCGCATATTATGCAAAATACGTCGTTGTAGTTATGCACTGTTGTGCATCTATTTGTTAAATAGAATGAATGCGATTCAAAAACACACGTTTATTCATGCTGCAAAATGCAATGCGGCCCCGGGAAGCCAAACGCAGACGCAGGCACAGCATTGAAACACAACATGCAATAACATCGCGTAACATGCGAAATGCGAATCGCTCCATTCGCGTCATGAAACCGATGTTGATGACATGTCAATTGCGCGTTCGGGTTTTTCTTTCGCTGCTTGCTTCGTTTTCGCGCACGCACGTCTGCAATTGACGTTATTTTGGTATTGAGGTTGACACGCGCCTTATTTCTTTTTGTCTTGTGGGATTCTTTCATCATCAGGCGGGTAATCTTCTTCGGAATTCCTCATTACATTCCGGAAAACGCGGAAAATTAGATTTATATCTGTTTATTGCTTGATTTGGAGTAAAAATATTAGGTAACACCCTGTATAAATTATTTTGAAACTATTTTATAGCACTTGGAAGGTTAAATCTTAAAATTTTTGTAGAAATAAATTAAAATATAGGAATTTAGGGGAAAAATTTAAAATTAAAAAAAAAATTTTTTTTTTGATTTAAAAATTAAGTTTTTTTTAAACATCCTGTATAAATCATTGTAAAATTATTTTATATCACAGAAAAATGTTTTTTTTATGACACATTAACACAAAAGAAGTTGAACTTTATCATTTTTCAAACAAAAAAATTTAATTTTAGAAAAAATTGAAAGAATTTAGAAATTTTTTTGGAAAAAATTGTTTTTTTGGTTGAGGATATGTTGTTTTACGTAAATGTCAAAACTATTTAACCAAACCTAAAATTATTTCATAATAAACACCCTGTATGTAATTCCAAAACTATTTTATAGCATTTGAAAAATGTGATTATAATATTATGAGCAGATAGGGAAAATTGAAGCTCGACAGCTATGTGAATATTATTCATTATAGTCATTAGATTTGTATGAAAGTTTCGCCGGCGATGGAAAGTTTTCCACTTTAAATACCTCTATCTCGACTCGCGCTCGCGCGCTACCGAAATCAAACAATGCCCGAATCCCGTGCGGAACCTTTGAATTTGATCGCGATTACGACGCAATATTATACGACTCTGCGCTTCAAACACATCCGCCCCGCATCGCAAAAAATAAATAAGCAGAAAGCTCAATGCAGCAATCAATGATGAGGAAGTTGGCTGAAACTAATCCACAAATAAAGTCAGTTACCAGAACGCCGGAAACAGGAAATGATCTTATTTCTTACTAATAAAGAAATATAATTTATTTATTTCTGTACAAGAATAGAGTTCGAGTACATAAATGTCACACAGCACGCATTAAATATGTATCAAGCAAGCAATCAACAAATCGAATATGCATGATTACATAAGTAAGTAGTTCAATTAATTAATTAATGCGCCACGTGTGTGGGTAATAGCCGAACATCATTCACAACCACCACCTCCACCTCCCACCCATCCACAATTTGTCCGCTCCGATAAGTCCACATTCCATGTGCACTCGTAACGCGCGTCGTTATTGAATTATCCGTTCCACGAAGAGTGCGCACGCCACCCGCCGCGGCCGCCGTTCCGGCTCACTTCGCATTTCATTTATTTATTCGCGGCCGCAAACGCTCGGCCCGTAATTGTCATCGTTCATTGCTGCCGGCGTATCAATGTAGTTTAGATAATTTATAGTCAAAGTTCACTCACTGCTGCGGCATTTCCAGCGGCAGATAACATGTGAAATATTCTCGGTATTGCGTGTAATCGTACGTAAATTAAGCATCGGGGGCATGCCACGAAAGTCAAACTCAAACTGGAACTGGGTCTCGGTGGAATGGATAATTGAATTTTATACACAAGAAAATTAAAAAAATCTGTTTGAGAAAAAAATATGAATTTTTGGTTGAATACCGGTTTTTCGGTATACCGGTTTTTTGGAATACCGGTATTTTTTAATAACCGGTATTATGATATATCGGTATTTTTTAAAAAAGCAAAATTGGATTAGAAAAAATTAAGATTTTTACAAAATACCGATATTAAAACCGGTATATTTTTGGTATTCATACCGGTTAACCGGTTTTTGAAAAAAAAAATTAATTTTCTCAAAAAAATTTATTATTTTCAGTTCAAATATTATAAAATTTTACTTCTATGAATTTTAACCCAAACAACTAAGAAATTTTCCGTTTTATATCTTTCACGCTAAATCTTTCCTTCTAAATTCGCGATTGTTGTTTTTCTCACGTTCCACATTCACATTTCCTTGGTTGCTGGTTTCGGTAGATGTAAGTAGAGTTGAGTTAGTTGGTGGCTCTCGCCTCGCTGGCTGTGTTTTCGGTTTTGTGCATCGCGCTGCGAATAACCATAACTATGCCAGCAGGCAAACATGCGCACGTACGAATTTTGCGGGGGTGCAATCATATAATACAACGCGCAATTTATTTGACGATGTGGCTTTTATTACGCAACCAAGATACTACTTGTGTTTTACCTGCGCTGCTTTTAAGAAATGCACGAAATAAAATAAAATACGAATTATGTGCGGAATAATATTCTAGGTTATGTAGTAGAGACTAGAGAGTAGTGTATGTTGGGTTGCTGGGTTGGTTCATCTTTTCTATCCCGCGTAATCAAGCTGACAAGCGAAAACTAATTTCGCCGGACCGGTGCCTTCATTTTCTTCTCATATATTCCTTCCCTGATGTATGTCTCCCGGCGTCCTTTTCATCCTCGACTCGTGCTCGCTTTGGTCAGCGCGGGTACTTTATCTTCTCTACTTTAATCCTGGTGTGTGTAGGTATAAGTAAGACAAGGAGGGTTGCGTCAGTCGGCACCTTTACACATGGTCGGGGGGATGTTGGATGGAGGATGTGTAATATCAATGTTTGCATCCTGTTTACGCTCGCGCTGGGTCTTTCATCTGGGCGAGTGTGCGCGCGAGCTGTAATTGCATCAGTGGCATCAGGAACCGTTCGTTCGTTTGGCATAACCGATGCGTAACAGAAGCTGTGGCTTGAATTTAGCATATTGGGTCAGCATGTCCGGTCTTCTCTCACTTTTAACACTGCGTTTAACACTGGGATATGTGGTGTCGCGTGTACGGCGGGGGGTGCAAATTCAAACCGGGCGTAATTAAATTTTTGACACGCAAATCTCGTGCTCACATTTATCACAACTCTTACACAACATTTATTTTCATGTGTGTGCGGTGCCGGGTGTGAGACGATTTGTGAATGTAATTTTTATTAAATTTTTAAATTCATGAAATTTTTTCTTGGGTTGTACTCGTAATTCTTTAGTCAGGGACCTGTTGCAAGATAAGTTTTTTTTATTTTTTTATGGAGGATTGAATGTGTAGTAGGAGAAATAAAAATGGTGCTTGTGTATTATTTGTGCACTTTCCGATATGATGGTATTACAGTGATTGCGATGCTCATTTGGGGATTACGCCCGTCCGTAACGACGCGATTATTATTATTGTTGGTATGGCGAACGATGTGACTTGGCACGCTTGGCCGCATACGAATGCGGCGTAATCGGAAAGCGGCGACCGTCGTCAACATGAAAGCCTGCGCGGGCGTGGGGGTGGTGGTTGAGCGGCGGGTGCATTTGCCGCAATGCACACGATGGCGTGCCATCAGCGTACGCGCACATATGATAGCGAAAGACGCCTCGGACACGAAAAACGTCGCCCGGTGCGAGTTACAATTTCCTGGCGCTCGGCTCGGCGGTGGCGGCGCGCGCCCGGAACCGAACTTTCTTTATGCACATGTGCTCAGATAGAGATCGCGATAAAAACGCGAATGCAGAAATGCACAAAAGGCACGCGACGCGCAGGTTTTTATTGAAATTCCACCTAAATTTCAACTCTTCTAGTAGTAATCAAATGATATTTATTAATTATTTATTTCCTCGTTATAACGTAACAACTTCTCAGTGTAACAACGAAAAATATTTTTATTGCTAGCAATTATGAGCTAGAATATTTTTTAAGACATGATATCGGTGGTAACATTTGTAATATTGTTGTAATAATGATCCCAACATCCCTACAAATTGCAATGCAAATTTCTATAACTTAAGCACGATTTTTCAGCTAATTTGTTGGGGTGCACGTTGCGTTACTAGAAAATCATTTAAACATAACACAAGTGAATACAACTGAGCGACGCGGAATTCATATTTAGACTTCAGGAATTATTTACCGGCATTTTTACTAGAATAAGTGAGTTTATAACCAGCTTACAAAAGATTTAACAGTTCTCTATCCGCGTAAAATACCAATATTTTGTTATTTTTTTACTCTTTGATGTAACCTGTTTCAAAAGTTGCATAACTTGTTCAGAAATATATGAAAACTAAGCTTTTGAAGCAAAAACACATAAAACGCGGGAATTTTAATTTAAAACTCAAGTAAATCAAGTAAATTTGGTTATTTTTTGTTCATCGATGTAACGACATCTTGCTATAACGTTTTAACATGCAAAATTTCTATTTACCAGATAAAAACCTACAAAAAATCTAAAAAAATCTACAAAAAAAAAGTTTTTCTAAACAAATTGAAATAAAAAACGAGTTACAAAAGTCAAATGTATAATTTGGATGATATTGTGATATCTAAATACGTCTAATATTTACTTTGCATATTGTCGGACATCAAGTTGACAAAAGTCGGTCGCGCAGTCCGCCGTCACGCTTGAGAGCAAAAATCTCCGTCTATCTGATTTTTCCGTCCGTCTTTGCGCCGCGGCGAAATAATACGGCATGCAGGAAGCGAAGAAAGGCCACGCAAAAAATCGTTTTACATTCGCCATTATCATGGAAAATTATCATATCAACAGGAAGGCGCACCAGCACGACGGGCGGCGCGTCCCGGCTTCCCTCCGCGCATAATAACTAT